CCCCTGAGAGCAACTGCATTTTCAGTAGAGGACAGTTCTGCTTCAAGGAGAGGACAGATCTGCTTCACACAAGGAGTGAAGCAGATCTGTTCGACATTACTACCAGAAGAACAAATGAATATCATCTGGACAGAGTAAGTTCAGCCCAACTGAAACAGATGAAAGCCTCTAATGAAAGAAGGGCCTTCCAGCAGCCTTCCAACAGAAGCACAGTAGAAGGAGCTTAAGTATTTTTAAGGAAAAAGTTATTTGATTTTGGAGAATTTGTAAGAACTTCAAGTCACTGAACCTGCAACAGCAGGGGACTAGACTTAAAAGGGCACAGAGGGTCCCCTCCAGTCTTACGTGCATTCATGACATGAAATTTGAAGGATGGAAATACACAGAAAATCAGTAAATTACTCATGGGAAGTCTGTTACATGAAATTGATGTTTCATTTAAAAGAATGGCCTATTTACCCAGTTGTCTTAGTTCCAACCACATCATACAATAAGACAGCAAAATAAAACATTGAAATAGTGGTTTTACAAACAAGACCTTGAATGAAAGTTACACTGAGGCTTTGAGCAAGTCCTGTCAATGTATTTCAAAAAGATCTAGGGGATCATACTTTTTTGCCTTGACTTTTGCACATCGTGGCCCTTTAGCTTGTGGATCACAAAGTTATACAGCAATGGTTACTGCAGTGCATTTCCTCAGGAAGTGTTTGTGGTTCACCATGAAATACAAAATTGTTAGAAAACACCCACTGCTTTATGTGATCTTTTGATTAAACGAAGTTACATTTATTACTTTCCCTTAGTTAAAAAAAAAAAAAATCCCATTTAGCTATTTTATGGCAGTTTCCTCAATGAGACATATATACACATAATACTTATATGTGTGAATATATTTATGTATGTATATAAAAAATAAGCCAGGAGCATGTCTTGTGAAGAGAAGCCATTATTCTCCAACACAGAATATATGTAAAACAACAGTTTTTAAGCTGTCTGAACTTTTTTTAATCACAGTGTTTCACTGGATGCATATGAAAGTGTCTTTGTGCTATTTCCCTTTTGTTCTAAGGAGGGATTATGTAGAAAGAGCTTCGATATAACAACAGGTAGAGAGGTTTCACAGTAGCAGCCAAAGATTCTCTTAACTCTTCTCTTTACAATGCAATCCTACTACCTACCAAGAACAACTGCACAGGTATTAGCTAAAGTAAATTCTTGCTTATTTCCCCAGCTCCCAAATGGTGATCATGAGTTTGCTACCATGAACAGGTTGTTTACCCAGTAAAGATGGGCATCTACTAGTGTCACTGCTTGACAACACAGACCCTAAAATTAAAGGAAGAGGTCCCGGTCAGTGGCTCACTCTTGTTCATACCTTATTGAGACGACTTATTTCACACTCATAGTGTTCGTTCTTTCTGATCATTGAGGCATTCTTCTGCTTCAGGAGCTTGTTCTCTTCCTTCATTTCCCGGAGAGCTTCACTAAGGACCTTTGTTTCTTTCTGGAATGCAAACATACAGAGAGATGCTGCTGAAATGCAGATGGAACCGTTTTTCAAGAACAATTTTCAGAATATCTGCTGTCTGGCAGATGTGCTGCATTTTTGTTGTCCCAAACACAGCTGGGAAGGGAGGCAACAGGAAGGCGGATGGTTTGTAAAACCCAGATATGACAAAGTCTGTTGAAATTGTTTTGACCACTCACCATATGATGAGACCGAGACAACATACCAGACTAAATCCCTGCTCTCTACAGTCTGCAGTTGCAAAGGCATGAGAAAGCTGGCAGGCCAAGAAGCTCAGTACCATACAGATGATCATCCCAAACCTACATTACTCTTATGTACTCATAGCCTAAGGCCAGAGCTAAATGCTGGTAGAGTCCCAGGCATTCCCAGTGTCATACTACATCAAAGACAAAACCAGATCTCAGTATCACATAGTCTGAAGGCTTTTTCCACTACATAAGAGACTAAGGCAGGTCTCAGTCCACTCAAGAATTACCAAGCTACCAACCAAGGCTTAAAAGTCCACTTTCTTTGACCCCGTCACAGTTGTTGACTTGAGCTTGACCCTTCCTAGTACTTGTGCCTCCACTGTTGCCATCCCAGCAAGCTACCAGGAAGATGTTCCTACACCTCCTACAGGATTTACACACTAATCTTTCAAGACAGTATTTGATTTCTCCTATTGCTTTCAGTGCAATGGTGCTTTTCAATTTACAGTGAAGGGAGCCAAGATCCGAATTAGACCCCGAAGCAAATGGCATTGCGTAAGCTTCTCTCGCAGGGTAATGCATTCCGCACTAGCCCGCTTTTGCCAGACTGTCTTAGACCAAAGTTGTTTAGATATATGAAACAGGATGGCCCGTTCTACAAAAAAGGAAGTATTTCAAATATTCTTCTGCAGCTGCTTTATGTGATTAAAAAAAAAAAAAAAAAAAGAGATCCAACAATCGCACGCACAGAACACCATATGAATGCTTTTTTTTTCCTGTGCAACAGGCGTATCTCTGTGCAGCCAGCCATTAGGCGTTTATGGTTTGGGCTCATGAGAAATGCACCACCATGTGCTAATTGAGCCACTGAAAAGGCCCCTTGAGAAACTGTTGCTTACACGAGGTAGCTTTATCTTCCTTTGTTCTAAGTTAGTTGGAACATTTCATTTTCTCCAAAACTGGGCAAGATTAGCAGGGTATCTCTACATTAAGTATAGGAACTCACCCAGGAGCTAGCTTGAACTGGCATGTGCATGTATGCTTTAAGATATTAAAGAAAAACAAAACACTAAAATCCATATAGGCTTTTACCTATGCTCTTCTTTTCACCTTTGCCATCCTCTTTTCCTAGTTCCTAGCACACAACCTCCTTCTCAGAAGCTAACACCTCCAGGAATCGGGCCATTTGTAACTAAAGATTTCCAGTTTGTTCAGGTTTTTGAACAATCTGAATTCTTACATCTTATTGCTTCTTATTCAAGCATGTGCTTAGCTAAGACCATACTGTAATTGATAAGCAAGTAAGATGAAAGTTCTGCTTATGAAGATAAAAGCTAAGGGCTTTACATTTCTATTCCAGCAGCAGCAAACTTGCATCTTATCTGAGCCTGGAAGTGATGCGATTGCCACTTGTTTTTAGGTTTGCCTCATGTTATCAAGTGATAGAGAAGTCGGACTTCAGCCGTCAGAACACCATCCAGAAAATCTTACGAGAAGTTAGGAAGTGTGTAATACCATGAAGTGGAATGAAGATAGGAAGCATCACTCTGTGGTGCCTGTAAAACAGGGCACAAAGTTTTGCGTATACGTTCGGGATACATATGCTGATTGCTCAGGTTGGTGGTTTTGTTGTGGTGGGAATCCAGCTTAGGGATCTAACTTCAGATGTGAATGCCTACACAAGCGCGAGTGCCTAAGGAGTCCTGAGAAAGGGCCCAACCACTCTCAGGGTAAGGTGAACGCTGGTCTAGAGCAGCTGATCAGCCCAGGCACTTTCAGCCCTAATAACTGCATTGACTATATCACTAATATTTACAGGGAGCTGAGATAGCTAGCGCACATATAAAATCTATATTGTCAATACCAAAATGTGGGTGTCTGGAGCTGAATGCATTCCTTAAAGTATTTATTGCCAAGCACTTCATGTAACATCTGCAATGATGTTCCTATTCCATTTGAAATCACTGTAGCATTTTCATTCACAAAGAAATTCACCTTGAACTGAACAGTGAGGAAGGAAATCTCTGCTGTATTCCTATCAATCTGCTCGTTACTCCCCCACACACACTAATGCTGTGCTCTCTACCAATTTCAATTGAAATGACTCTCTCTCTGTACATAGTTCTCTGATCATACAGAAGATCAGCCACTGCCTTGGGTACAATATTGAGGAGCACTCCACACCACAATCTCATCTCATGGCTGTGCGACAACCCACGCCCTGCCACTCGCGAGATGAGAAAGAGGAAAGGCAAGACAGCGTTCAGCACTGAGCACGAACGGGGTAACAGCGTGCACCCTCCTACCGTTTCCTGCAATGGCCTCTCTCTGCCCAGGGCTCGCAACCTCTCATCTTCAGGATGCTGTCGATGTCTCTCTTCCTCCAGCTTACCAACTCTCCTCTCCGACACGTCCAGTTTTGCTTTCATTTCTGCCAGCTGAAAAGCAAGTGACAGACCACAGTGGGCTACCTGGGGACCCTGAAGGGCACAGCACTTTGAAGGTGCCTTCAAATCCTTTCAGCTCTCAGAAGATCAGCATAAAGGAGTGGATCTGGTTGTGTGTAAAGTCTCCAGCCACTGACTTTCCCCCTCTCCATCTCCAAGCTCCGCTGCTCTGTCTGCAGTGGAGATTCTCAATGATCCTGGGCAAATTCTCTGTTGATATTAACCCTGTTGAGTCTCACACTGTTTTGCCGCCAAAGGACAGCTACAATGGGTCTTTCCCTCCAAATGAATTTTCCGTTTTAATGTTCTTTTTTTTTTCCTTTTGCAATTTGGACTCCCTCTGCAGTGGTGCACATCCAAACGGTCTAGCCAGAGGCATAAAAGGGTCCCATATTGAATGAGGAAGAACCATTTAAATTCCTTTTCTCTTTGGGGAAAGAAAAAAAAAATCAAATAAATGATCCAGATCTCAGTAAAGCTTACTGGAAAACATTAGAGAGAAAATTTTCCTTGTAAGCAACATGAGGTCATTCCGCAAACTTCCTTTTCAAAGACAAAAACAGGAGGTGAGAAGTGTCAGTGAACCAACTTGGCTTTTAGAACACCAGGCAAAATTGTAAGCAGCCAGCTTCACTAGGCAAAGTGAAGCACAGGTGCCACACAACCGCGAACAGGTATGAAAGCTATGCCAATGGGATCTTGACCAAAAAAGGAAATAGAAAGTATTTATTTGAAATTTATTTTTCTAATCAAGAGCTTTTGTACACAGCAGTTTCTCAAAAGCAAAAAAGTCTCTGCTTATAGAAGATGGCATTCACGGAGGATTTATCTGAGAGCTTCCCCATTACAGGGAGCCCCAGTGAGCTTCCAGGCTTCACAAGCCAGTCAAAAAAGACAGGACAAGAACCAGCAGATATGTGACAATGTGGATCAGTGGCTGGGTACACCAGGTGCTGCAAGCTAATTTTCAGCTAATTATGCTCTGAAATGTGAGCCATTTTTAATACCTCATATAGGGCATATTACCTCTGCTGTTATGTCCACCCTGGTTCCTATTATTTTAGAGATGCCCTGCTTCTCTGGTTATTATGTCCTACTGAAGACGGTACACACATTAGCTTCACTTTTATGTGATGAAGCTTTTTTAATTTGTGAGCTGAAGACATAGTAAACATGATGCCTTTCCCCCCCTAAGATATTTACTATAGCTATGGCTGGTTGGTATTTTAGCACAGACTTAACTATCAGCAGGTGGTATAGATATTCCAATAGAAGCAGTCAACATTGTTACCTGTTTTTCATAAAGCTGTTTCATACGTCTAAACTGATGATCCCATTGCTTGTTCACCTCCAGAAGCTGTAATTATCAGGAAGTCACAGTAAATAACCCTTATTTCAACATTGTCAATAAATAAAAAATAGCCTGGCATTCTAATCCTTCAGCTATGAGTGCTCACAACCTCCTCCTTATCCGGCCAGGTCATTTCAGAAAAAGCAAGCGTAAGGTTTGGCGATCTTTACAGCCCATCTGCCAGTCCTTTGGTGTTTCTGTTATAGGACATGACCGTTCAGGAAGTAACATTCAGGAAGCTCGCAAATACACAATAAGCTACAGGTGAATCATTTGCAAGGCTGTACAAATCCCAAGCCGCAACTCCTAAATGGCCAAGGACTTTCTTGTTAGATTCCTTCAAATTTTCTTCCAATTAGAAGGTCCCTGACTTCCAAAAACTGAGTTGAAGACTCCTGTTGACTGCAATTACTACTGGCTGCAAACCCTGCTTGCCTTTCTCAGTACCACTAAGCCAAGCAAGCGTATGCATGCAAGATGTGAAGATCGGCTAACACCACGTGTGTAAGTGAGAAGAAGAGAATTCATCATGCATGCGTTTCTATCGGAGAAAGCCAAATAGGTCCCTCGGAAGGATTTTGCTTTGTAGGAGATAGGGTGACTCTTTAGGACGCTCAGCACAAGAATGGCTTCCAGTTCGCTGCTACCTGTGACCAAGACAACACTGGCTACTACTCACAGTGGTTCCCTGGCCTTTACAACAGCGACCATTAAAAAAATTTACCCTTTGTACTGTATAAATCTCTGCTCTTCTAGATTCATAGCCATGCTACCATAAGTCATCGTTTGTTTTTAGGAACAGTTCTCCTAATATAACTCTGCCTGGCTTGGTAGAGAGAAGTAGGACTACAGGAACTAGCTTAAAGAAAATTAAGTGCTTGCACACTTTGGGAAGAAATGCAAAGCAGAAAATCTCCACACAGAATTTGTCTCACAAGAGGACAGGATGAGATTACCACAGGAAAAATATAGGCCTTGCTGGACTGGTGGGTAAAACCAACTGCAGCATAAACATAGTGTAAGTAACAGTGATAACACACATTCAGTGAGATTTCCTGCCCCAGGCATATTACTGATATTGTAATATCTGTCTTAGAGGTTATATCTGTAAAGGTTAGGGGTAAACTTAAGATTACCTCTCGTCTCTGTCTTTCCAGTGACAGGATCTGTTGTTCCAGAGAACCGGCTGATATAGTGTTCTTTTTGGTCCGTAATGTGTGCCTTGACTGGAGAAAAGAAATGTGCAAAAATGAATGCTTTCGGCATCATCTCTTCAAGTCAAGATTATCATATGAAGTTCCCATCCACCATGGCACGTGCATGTAAAGAAACTGAAACAGCAACATTTTCTTACATTGCATTTGTATTTCAGTACCTTTACACCTGCTGACAGGAAACTTTGGAGCATACATCTGTGTTTTAATTGAAGCATTATGCAAATGGGCACTGAAATAAACAAAATTATGTCTATTTGTACCATCTGAGATGGAACACAAAATAGGATTTTAATTATCTTACAGATGGTAGTACAAACAAGTAGTACAAGCCACAAAAGTTGAGCATAAGTTGAAGTGGGCGTAAGTAATTCCCTTCATTTACAAGAACTAGAATAATAAGTAGTATTGCCCCTGGTAAGTGCTTGCAGGCCCAAGGCAATAAACTTTAGCACAATGGGTTCAAAACAAGCAATGCGAAAATGAATAGGCGATTTGGAGAAATTAGGAAATCAGTCTGCAATTGTTTCATTTTTTTTAAAGTGTGGAGTTTTGCCCATGCAGGACAAATCTTCATTCTTATAATGGCAATTTCATCTATCATAATTTCCAGGAAGTTTCTATGGATTGTCATGAAAACAAACATGTGAGCTATTATATAAATATAGAGATATATATAGATATGTATCAGGAGAAGAGTACTAGAAAAGAGATACATGCTTACAAAAATAAAGCATACTATGTTCAGATACCTGGTCAGGAATTATTTTTTTTTTTCCTCCCTAAATTCTCAATCAAAATATGAGAAACTAGAGTAAAAGCGTGAGCGCTTCTGAGGTCTTAAATCCCCTGAAATAAATTTCTTTTTTTCAGCTAGAGAATAGAAAAATGCCAAATACTCATGAAGAAGATCAAAGTATAGCTTTGTTGTGTCTTTCCACAGGCAAAAATCCTGACCACGTATTTGCCCCATGGATGGTCCTGCTGAGCTCCAATGTGGAACACTTGACTTCCATGCCAGTAAACAATCCCTCTTCCTCTAGTTCATTGACATGCTTAACTTAAAGTATCTGACGCAATTACCTGGCAGTCAATGAAGTTATTCATGTGTTGAATTGTTTTTAGAATCTGGGCCTTAGGCATGTATTTAAGAGCATATTTAAGAGTCCTATTAAAGTGAATAGGACAACTCATAAATCTAACCGCTATATATACACCGGGCACCAACTGGCCCAAATACTGCTCAAAGACGCTGTAGGGTCACTGAAATGAATCACTTTCTACCCTTTGCATAACAAATTAAATTGACCGGTACTTTTCAGCAGGGAAAAAAAAACCTCTAGGAAAGGTTTTCTTTCTAAGAAGGCCGCATCCAAAAATATTTCTAACATTTCCTTCTACTCTTAAACAGCATAAATCATTCAGATGAATCTACCGGAACACAAAAATGAGCCCATAATTGCCAATCTATGAAGCGACATGCATGATACCTGCACCAGCTCAAGCTGTTCCTGTTAATCAGCACTTCAGAGAAGAGCCAAAACAGTCACTTACTTCTAGTGCGTCTGCCGGGACTTCCATGTCACTCACATCTGCCCACGTGCATCCAAGATGGCCTTCAGCATTTGTTTCACTATGGGTCTATAAGAGGAGCAACGGAAGAGATATTTTATGTTGGTTAAAGGAGCAGGACAACTGCATTAAGACTCAGAAGATCCACAAGTGCTGCCTGTGGAAGCAGCCGAGGTTCAGAAATAAGGGGTGGAATTTTGATTTTTAACCTTTTCCTTCTTCCTGGCGGGGGCTTCCCAGACGGGTTGAAGCACACTGCCTATGACTAATATGCCGGGCAAGGCAGTACTCTGCTTAGTGTGCATGTAAATCACAATTGACTGGCCCTGAGAGAGGAAGTTGCATGTATAAGGGAAGGAAGGGTATGTTTTTTCAGTAAACAAGAGGACAGGGTTTTCTATCCCTGCTTCCAGTTGTAAAAAAGGACTTACGTAAATATGACAAGTATTAAGTGACACTAAGACAGTGTGAACTATCATGATCAAAAAATTAGTGAGTCATGCTTATAAAGGAGTAATAGAGAAGTCTGTTAACAGCTATGGGGAAGAGCACACCCATACAAACCCCAAGATGTTCAGGGGAAAACCATAATTGGAAAATTGATTTACTTTCCCTGAAGAAAAGCTGCACAAAGATGAAGTATGACAGGCGTCGTTATTCTTCTCCTAAGGACATCGTACTTGCAGTTCTAGTCCTTACCTCATCTAAGCATAGATCTAGATTCAAGCTACTCAAGTCTTCACTTGAGTACTCAACGTATCTAACACTTCAAACTTGTGTCAGTTTCCCATTTGGAAAAAGAGGTTAACCTTGCCAAGTTAAAGTCACTGGAAAGATTAACAAAGAAAAGGCTTCCACAGACTTCACATACAAAGTCAGGAGGAAAGAGAAAAGTGCAAAGTACTGTCATCTTCAGCCTTGGAATTCTGAATAATGATGGATTTGAGAAGGAAGCATTAAAAAGAAAAATCATTTTCCTTCTTGCGGAAAGATCCCTGGGTCTGAGGCTTTTTCAGTGGGAGCAAAGGTTGCTTATTTCCTTTTCAAGGAAAGGAACGAAAGCTAGCCTGTGAAATTTGACATAAAATAATATAAACCTGTGGGAGTTCTTTCAATTTCCAAAAAAAGGATTTAGACAAAGTAAAGTAATCCTGTCAAATGCTGGAATTTAACAGCCACATTCCAGATCTCTGGTTCGTAATGTGTGACTAAGCGACTCCTCTTTTGCAAGATATAAACCCCAATTTGGAAGAAAGCTACTATTCTATAATATTTGCATATGAAATATATCCTCCCTACCCTAATGTTCTTTTTATTTTTTCCTGGTTTATGGAGTGGCTGGAAAACTCGTGGGGTATAAAGAGAGAAATTAAAAACCAAACGTTATTTTAATAAAGACATTTTACATTCTACATAAGAGTCATCCAACACATCAAAAAATAAAAGAATTTCATCTGTACCTATACCAAAACTAGTCTTTGAACATATCCCTCCCAGGTACAGCATTGGTTTAAAGAAGGAAAAACTACTGGCTGATAATACAATAGCAATTTCCACAATTGCATTTCTCAACATTTCTGTAGTGATTGAATACATTGCAAGAAATATGAGCCACTAACTGTCAGGCAATGAAACAAAGTCAACCTCTGTACCGCCAAAGCAAGATTGAGTAAAACAGGAAGGCCATCCTCTGGGAAACAGACAAGCGAGAAGGCCAACTTCTAAAATGAATAAACATACCATGCTACCTGAGAGAATGTAGTAATAAGTAAACCCTAAAAATCCCCACAGCGGAGAAGGAAGAGGAAGCACCACACATTTTTAAAATGAGACTGAGCATTGTAATATTATTAAAAGTTTATATCAAACTAAAGCTTACACCTAATGACTTCAAAGTTCTTTGCAGAAGCAGGCAATAACTTTATTATACACACAGGGAAACAGGCCAACTGAACGCTAAAGGTCATCCAGATGTTTGTGTCAGATCAGAGAATGGTGATGTCTCCTTTTACCCACGGTCTGTCCATCTGTCACAGCCACGTCTGCAGCAGCCACTAGCAGGCTGTCACTGCATAACTGTGTTCTGACTGTACTGAAGCTAGGGCACATGAAGAGTCTAGAGTGAGCTGCTGAAGGAGAGGGTACTGTCCCTAGACACAAATGACACAAACAGCAATTATCTATAGTCATCTCCCAATGTCCTGGCTGCTACAGTCCTATACATTATATCAGCCTGGAGAAGAGAAGGCTCTGGGGGGCCTTATAGCAGTCTTCCTGAACCTAAAGCGCGCCTACAGAAAAGGTGGAGAGAGACTCCTCGTCAGGGAGTGTACCAATAGGACGAGGGGTAACGGTTTTAAACTGAAAGAGGGTAGATTTAGACTACGTATTAGGAAGAAATTCTTTACTCTGAGGGCAGCGAGATACTGGCACAGGTTGCCCAAAGAAGTTGTGGAGGCCCCATCCCTGAAAGTGTTCAAGGACTGGTTGGATGGGGCTTTGAGCAACCTGGTCTAGTCAGAGGTGTCCGGGCCCATGGCAAAGTGGTTGGAACTAGATGGTCTTTAAGGTCCCTTCCAACTCTAACCATTCTACAATTATAAACTCATGGAAACAGAGTCTGTCTCTGTCTATAAAGTACCAACACTGAGCATCTGATTCATAAAAATACAGTCAGAAAACCTCCATGCTGCACGTCTGCTCTTGAGGGCAATGATTCTGAAGCACAGATACCTTCCCTTACACCGGCTCCCATGTTTGGCAGGCCCATCCCTATTCCGGCAGCAGCTAAGCTTTGGGAGAAAGCTTAGGTTGAACAGCCGCATTTTATGGTCTACCCTGCTAAGGTAAATCAGCCCATTTCCCATTTCCTCACCACAGTGTGCTACAAAGTGCTACATGAGTTGCTGAGTGTTCTCTGTAGCAGGGACAGAAGAGCAAACCCAGGGCACAGCCCTACCTGTGAATCACAGCTCCCACTTAAATGATATTAGTGCTCAAATTACTTTGAGGAGAGGATGAGGCTAAGACCTTGGAATGCACACAGGTGTTACCGTTTAGTTCAAAAGAGTTTCCTGGAAAGCTGAGCAGTTTCCTGGAAAGCTAGGTGGACATTAGGACACCAAATCCTTTGTTGTTGATACCTTAATGACCATATTAATGACTACCAAAAGTGAGTAATTCTGTCTTGGACTGGAAGATCTGAAGGTGCCATTTATAGGGATTTTAACTAGTTGCAACACTGTTCCTTTCCATTCTTCCCACTGCTCCTGCCTTCATGACGCGGTGAAGGAGCTGGGAAGACCTGGGGGAAAAGGTGAAGCTCCTGGAAGAATAGAGGCTGGAACAGCAACAGCGTCTCCACATCTCCCCCTTTCCATGCCAAACTGACCGGCACATCTGTCCATTTTCACTCTCTGTGAGCCTACCATGGTGTCTGAGCCGCAACCGCTGTTGTCCTTTCCCACACTACGGCTATGCATAAGAGTTTTGAGTCGAGTTTCACTGTTTACTGAAATAGCTGTTGTTTGCATGCAGTTTGGCACCACCGGTGAATGCAATTCATGCTGGCCTCGTTTACTGGGTATATCTTTCACCTAACATCACTGTCTTGTTTGAAAGACTTAACGCTTCCTGCTAATAATCAATAAGCTCTGAGCTAGGCATGCCTGTGTGGAAGCTCTTAGCTTTGTTACTGGCCTTCCACCCTACATGCACATGTTAAAAACAGTGCCAAGTTTTCTTGCACCCTTTTAGCTATTGCTTTTCACTACAGGGATTTTATACAAAACACGACAGAATCGAAATGACTTTAAGTACTCTTCAGTGCCTAGCTAGGCAAGCTCAGCATTCCTACGGATAACGCTGATGCCCCTTCACACAATACCTAAAATCAAATGCCTTTTAAGAGATTTGATAGGAAATACATCTTAAGAGAAATAATGTGCTCAAGAACAACAGTGCTGTTCAGCTGTGCAAGCAGCTTGGTGGGAGATAGGTTCCTTCTTCCTTTCCTCACAAGTGCTTTGATTGCCACGTAAGAATAGTACGGGGTACTGGAAAGAGAAGAGTATGTCCAAAATCTATATGAACAGAAGAAATGACAATGAGTAGGGAACAAAAGCTCAAGCTCTTCAGAGGTGGTAGCATTCTTCCAGCAAAAACTGGGAGAAGTTGAAGCAAAATTGTTGTCTCTCTCTGTGAAAACAGTTAGTAGCACTGAAAAGAAAGACAAGGAGATGACAACATTCATTTTCTTTGGTATTGCAGAGATAAAGACACTACATTTGTTTATCAGTCTACTGCTACACAATGAAGAACAACTTAGTTGTACCTCAGCACTTCAGACATCTGAGATATAAAAATCCTTGAAATAAAGACTCTTTTTGACAGCTATCAGACTTCAGAAGTCAAAATAAGAAAAATATTTTTAAGGCATTTATACTTGGCTTGAAGCTATTGAATCAAACATGCAGTTTTAAATTGCTTGGAGAATTTTAGTTGAAGACCTGGCTGTAAATGCAGTCGCAAACCCAAAAATCTATTTACAGATCCAAGCAAACATTCAACAAGCTGTTAAAATTTTCCAGCCTGAAAAACATAAGCAGACCAGTTAAAGATTCTGGAGGAAAATTTGTCCTAGTGCTACACAGTCACAGGAAGCTTCACAGGAAGCAAAAATGACAGCTGAAGAGGGTGTCTGCAAAGCGTGAACAGGCCAGCACAAAACACCAGGAAAGCAAATTGTGAAGGAAAACACAGAGTTAGCAGCGTTGCCAAAGGCAAGGCAGCATACGTTTGGTAGGTGTTGCACTGTTTGGTAAGTATCTGCAGAAAAGCAGAGAAGATACCAGAGGAGAAACCAAGCGTGCCCAAGCGGGAACATCATCAGCTGTGCGCTGTGCTGAGAAGATGTCCATCAGCGCTAATGAAGGCAAGGGCTCCCCAGGAGCTGCTTGAGCCACTCTCGCAGCCGTGGACTGAAACAGCACCTCAGATGTGGGCAACACCCCTGACTACACACAGGCTGGGTGCCGCCATGCAAATTAGCACCATCTCTAACACTGCAG